TTTAAATATTGAAGACTTGGAATGACTTTGAGCAGTCAAAACGTACAACACTGCCCTTAGTCACAAGTATACAGTATATCTAACATGTTGCTGTTGCAAGTAATGTAAGGCTTTTTGCCGGATCTCTTGTCAATATAGATAACACACTCTAATCAAATGATTAATAATATATTTATTAATGACTTTATTGCGAGAGCTCCTTTTTTAGTATAAATAATTCAAAAACATGTAATAATGAATAAAGTAATATAAGACTAATAAATCTAATCAAAAATGAGAATGCTTTTATCTTATAAAGAATCGATTATTATCTTCGTGGACGATGCAGTGTAATCGTGGAAGGAATGCCTGCACGATACGTCAATATGTTAGTAAATCCAAGCGAATAAAAGGTATTGATGAAACATCAAGTAGAACATAGAGTGTAGGAATAGCCTGTGACATAAAGGACCTGGCTAAGGCGGAAGCCTCATTTTGAGTTTAGCTTTGTGAAGTTTGTGTAAAATAAACATTACTGAAATTTCATGTGGTACTCAGAGTCCAGCTTAGTGGATTATTGACTAATAAAGAGAAAGTATATATCTAAGAAAAAAGCAAAGAAGGCAGATACAACAGGTTTGAAAGCAGTGTTGTCACCCGACAGAACGTGATAATAAATAACGCAAAATTCTATTATGATAACATCTTAAGCTATAATTAAAGTTATTCAGAAATCCGAGACTGTCCAAAAGGCCCAGACATCTAAAATGTCAACACTGCTTGAAGGTGCTATGATAAGGTCAGTGATTGTTAAATTATTCGTCCAAAGTACTGTACCTGAACAAGAAAAGGTGATTATTGAATAGGTTTGTCGAATAATTCCTTAGAATTAAAACTGTTGTAGAGATTTAAGTATAATTCAAAAATGTTATGTAGTATAGAACTTTACCTAGAATGATAAGTGTTGTGGAAAATTGAATGTTCATGATGCGAGATTAATGCTGTTGAAGTAAAGATTGTTGAAAATGAAGTGATGGCAGAAATTGTATAGTTATAGGATCAGAGAACATCATGGAACTTGGGAATAAATACAAGAATTTGGAATCTTCAGAAAAATAAAATCTTTAGATCAGAAATAAAAGTTTTTATGACTGATCTTCCGGCTTCGGGTGCAGCAACTTAATGTTATTTTTTAAATTTGTAATGAATTGGTATCCAGGAGATGAGAAAAGATATAGATAGGAAAGCTTGTGGCCACGATGTTTGTTTGTAATAAGGAAGGGACATGACCGATTCCTCCTCCAAAATAAGCAGACCTTATATGATCTCTTAGTAAGTAGGCTATCATAAGTCTATTTCATAGCTAATGACTTGATTTTCGTTTAACAATTGTTAAATCTTTTCTCGTATCCTGCATAGCGGGGAGTGTTAAATATCAACGTTTGTTATCAAATTGGATTAGCATTCGAACTTTTGAAAAAAGTCACCGAATATATTAAGGTTGATATCAAATTGGACTAGGTGTACGCTATGTAAATCAAAACTAATGTGGTATCATATAAAAAATTATTATTAAAGATTTTTGATTTTACATATGTTCTGTAATAAATTTTACTGCGTTTTTTCATACATCACACCAGAAATCAGAAATCGAGAAAAAATGTAAATCTGTATGAAAATCACTGATCACAGTAATTTGAAATAGATGCACGCCTAACGGCTCGATAAAATTTTGGATCGACCAAGATTATTTCTCGACAAACAAAGCTATAGAGCCATTTCTTTGAAAAATTTCAAACCACCGTTTTAAAAAAGACTTCTTTTTTAATTAAAATTTTTTCATAGTTAAATAAAAGAAATGGCTTTATAGCTTTGTTTGTCGAGAAATAATCTTGAACTATCGAGCCGTCAGGGTTGTGCATTTAATTTAAAATTCACGAAGAATTATTATAGTACATACCGGTATGTAAAATCAAAAAAATCTTTAATAATAGTTTTTTATATGACACCACGTATAGTTTTGATTTATATAGTGTACAGAACACCCCAGTGTGAAGGGCGAACATAATATTTGAATATTTTAAAAGCTACTACATGGATCAACTAATGGAATATTCATTGTCACGGCTGATGCTGAAATTTGGACCTATTTTGATATGAAATTTTAAAATTTTTTGGGGGTGTTTTCTTACGATTTTTTTTTTAGGGTTAGGTTAGGGTTTAGATTTGATATTTAAAGAGTATATGTGGATTTTAGCAGGTCTTATAGCTTCAAATCGAGATCCCAAATTTCAGCATCAGCTGCGACATTAAAGAAAAGACGAATCTAAATAATAGCTTAGTATACGATCCAGGGAGCTATCGCTTAAACAAATATTTGTCTAATGATTATAAATTAACAATTGCCTATGAATTAACGGACATAATCCGTAACGGTAACCACTAGTGTTGTCTATTATAAATTTGGAATATAAAGTTGGCAGGTTAGCGTTAGTTGCTATTCTCGAAAATTACTCGTGTGTTCATTTAAAAAGAAGTAACTTCGATAATGCAATAGATGAGATGGTACTTTCTTTAATTGGTT